CATTGTTGACCAAAAAGAAGATCAATAATAACGATGATATAGTATGATTTTATACTTAAAATATCTGGTCAATATTTACGTTTCGCATTGAAAAAATATCGGAATCAATAGATTGAAATAATAATAAAAAAATAGACTTTTTTTTTTTTCTGAGCGTGTATTTTAATAATAAATTAAAATAAAGTTAGTATAAATTTAAATAATATAAATATTAAATACATTAAAATTAGTTATATTTTAACTTTCTTAATTTATTTTTTACCAAAATATTATGAAGTTAAATTAATTTCCGGGAAGAATTTTTAAAATATTTTTTATTAGAGAGAAGTCATTGTAATTGACTAACGTTCATCGAGAAGTTACTTAAAAAAAAAAAATAAAAAACAATTCTTGTCTTATATCTTTTAAGATTTAATATTGTAATAATTTAAGTATTATTATTGTCTAACACGATTTATTAATTTATCGACGAATTCAATTAAAAATTGTATCGTTCCGATTGATGGTCGTAAATGACTAAGATCAAAATATTAATAATTAATAGACTCAAAGAAAACATGAAACATTCCACCCTTTAATTTATTCAGTTAATTTACGATCGCGTGTTGTCTTTTCTTATTTACTAAGTTTTGAAATAAAACAAAAAAAGATTGTTTTTTTTTTTTAAAGAAAATATAAATAAAAACATTTGGGTAAATCACTACACCAGCTATATAGTAACTTATAACGAGAAAAAGTGTCGTGCCATCCTTTGAGATTGACTACCGTCCAAGAAAATTCGCTGATTTACTCTGTAGGGAATTTCCCGTACATAAAGCTGGTTTTGTTCAAGTACAGACCATAATCCCTTTTTCGTGCGTATTCTCATGTTTTGGTAAAAAGAAAAAAATCGAATACAAATTGTATTTTTTTTTATTTATTTATTTTTTTTAACCATGAAATAAAATGTATATAAAAATATATGTGAACACATCAGAAATCACTAGTCTAAATAAATCAATCTAAAAAATAAGAATGAATACAGTACAACACTTAGGACGCAGTATGCGAAACGAAGCGAAAGTGAACTGTAAACGATTTTAATGTTTTGAATTTTGAATAAGAATATTTACATATTTTTAGGTATTCATTATAATTATCTACACGTGGGGTCGTTTGACCGTTTCAGCCTTTGAAATTAGTTTTCCCTAATCGTGGATTTTTCTTGTAATAATTATCGAATGAGAAAACACGACACGGATCAAATTTTTTTCGAGTTATTATAAATAAAAATGTGAATTATATTCACAGGTACACCGGGCTTGAAAAAAATTGTAGCGAACGAATCGAATTAAATCGCATGTTAGTGAAATCACAGAATATATGAAATTAGAATGGTCACTTGTAGATTTAAACAAGATTCAGCCGCTATATTTATGGAGTCCTAGTTTCGTATCACTTTAAGAGTGATAACATTTATTTTGTGACAGTAGCGCAATCAGGAATTTTTCATGGGGGGGGGGTCTGACAAAATAAACTAATATACAAATAATAAAAAATTATAAAATATATATCTAGAATATGATATTAATATACTATTATACGTACCAGGGGGGGGGTCCAGACCCGGAGGCCACCCCCCTGGTTGCGCCACTGTTTTGTGATGATGTACTGAAAACATTGAACGTACTTATTTGTTTCGGTACATATTATTTATTAAACCACATCAAATATGAAATACATTCACTGTTGGGACTCCATAACAGTGGCCGGATGGTTTTTGAACATCCTCGTGTGTAAAATCTTATCAATGACCATTCTGATCTCATATATTCTATGGTGAAACGTAGACTCGTATTACGTCGACGCGTTCCTCAATATTTGCTCGGAATTTAAAACGCGCGAGATTCAGAGCGATTAATCATCAAACGTTTTCAAATCAAATCGTCCCGTTGTTTATTAATACGTAATCCGGCGGGTGAAAGGATGGCGCGTTAATTTGTTTAGTTTTTTTGATTGGTTTATGACGAGTGTGTAGGGTCGTCGTATGCAGTTATCGAAGTTCTGTAGAGATACGTATAGAAATAGTACCTGTATCACGCGATCGACAACGCAGGATGCGGTAATAGCTTCCGTCAGAGTGACCGTAATTTAATCGTTTACCAGAAGGTGTTGTGTGTATAGTAATCAGCTATCGTGAAAAGTACTGTACAAATTGTCACCGAGTGAGATGTGTTATCGTGTTATCGCACCCGGACGACACGTTTTTTTTCGACAAGTCGTTTCGAAGAAAAACTGGGGAAAGAATAATGACACACGGAAATAATATTTATTTTTTTTTTTTTGCGCGTAAGCTGCTTAAAACGTTCTCACGCGTAAACTCGTACGAAGATAAAACTTCACCCACGCGTAGGTATTTATACGGCTTACGGAAAAATTTAAAACCCAATAATAAGTACGCGCCGACCGCCCCCGCCGATCGCGGCTCGTACAGAATAACGCGCGTCAACGACAATATTCCGTTTTCGCGTAATCACTTCTCGGAGTTCGTTCGAATCTAAGAGTAATGTGTTATATTGTTTACATTCAAAACAATTTTACTCGAAATGCCGTTTAAAAAATAAACTGTTTATGGAAAAAACCGTTAAAAATATATTATACAATCATTTTTCTGGAACACAAAAAGGTTACTGTCGCGAAAACAAATTATACACTTCCATTGATTCCTACATGCGTATTTTACCGATACGTTTAACCGTCTAAAATTATGACTGCGTTTGATGTATTCTCGACTTGATCTCTAAACGTTTTTTCCAAACAACGGACGGACGTAATCATAATAAATTACCGCCGAGCTTGTTGTTTATTGCGCTTAAAACGGAGATTATTGATCGGAAATCGATTGCACACAAAATGTCCAAATCAACAACCGATCAAGAAATAACGCATTATTAATATTCATGGTGTTGCAAACGAAATTTCAAATCTTTTAACGGAAACAATTAAGCGCGATAATACTATTACTATTATCGCTATTCCATACAATTTATTTTTATTGTTCTCCGGGGTGGTTTCCGGTTTTAAAGAATTCGACGCAGCTCCGTCGTAGTTTACGATTTACACGAATAAAAACAAATCATCGCCCATCATTTACTTTTCGATATTTTAGTTAGAAGTTGCCGGTATCATTAAGTTAACAATTCGATTATATTATGATAAAAAAAATCGATATTTTATGAATTTCGTCTTCGTCGTCGTCGTCGTCGTCCCCAAGAATGATTTAACTGCAACGGTATCTCGGTTTATTTATTTACTGCGTCGCTCTCGCTCACTCTCTCAGTTTACCTGCCCGTCGCTCTGTCCCTACGTGCCGTTGAAACTTTCGTGAAATACGAATATTCCACGTATCACCTATGTGTGCACGTATATGTGTCCATAAAGCACCGGAGGTGTTCCGAAACGCGGTAATATTTACATTATTCTTGTAACGAGAGAAACAAGGCGTTTACGTGATTTTCTCCGATTCTCGTATTTACAAAATAATACTCTCAGCGGCACTACGACAATACACGTGGATTATTATTATTATTATTATCATAGTTATTATTATTATTATTATTATTATTATTAATGATCATAATTTGATCTATTTTATACGCACGGTGAGTGAAAACGATTCTTATTATACCTACTCAGAACTCAGACAAACATGCATATCGTATACAAGGTAATTTGTTAGTGTCTTTCTATCCTAAATATAGGTGGATGATTTTGAAATTTTACTATTATAACTGTACGAACAATTACTTCAGGAATATTCAAATTTTGCGTAACCGTCCGAATAACTGTCCAAAGACATAATGAATTATTTGATTATTTACACGATTATTACTGAATTTACTTACTCTCCGACATATTAGCAAGAAGTTAAATAATAATATATATTAATATTATTTTATCAATTTTTCACATATCTAATAAAATCGTAAATTCCATATTTTTAAGCCGTCAAGTAAATCTACCGCTTAACGATTGAATAGTTATTATTGCAGTCGAAATCTTTTATTAAAAGTAAATTAAACTTAAGCAGTTTATTTTAAATTATAATAAATAATAAACTATAAATATATGTATAGTATAAGGCCGTGCATTATTTTAAATGTACCTAATAAAATATTCAATTGCATAATTCAAAAGATGATTAATGTGCAATTCAATTACAAATTATGAAACATCTGAAGGAGCCTTTACATATTTTAAATACTTAAAAACGCTTATAATTATTTAACTTTTGTTAACGACATTTATAAGTTTTTATACTTATCTAATAATACTTTATCTGTATGTATCAAACCGTTAATTGGCTTTTACAATCATTATAATTAATATTTATCATCTTCGCATTTAAATTATGTATAATTATAAGTAATATATTTAATTAAAACTATAATATTTATTTATAAAATCTAAATGCAAATGTATGTTAAACATCTAAACGAACGTGTTCTTGGTTCTACGGTGTTCACACTTTTACTGTTCTAATGACGTGCAACATTCAAAAAGTCCAGACGATCAACGAGTATAGACATTTGTAACTCACAGAGTATTTTCATATGGAGAGTCTTTTCACATAATTATTTACCATTATTGTATGCATTTTTTGTGTTATTCGGTGCATTATTAAAATATTTACTCTGATAGATTAACTCAATATAGTATAGTGAGGCAAGTGTAGGATGACGTGATAGAGATGATGTTGATTGGTCTCCAGTTAAGTCATTCTTCCGGTCACTACTATAGTTTGGATCTTGGTGGACCATCTACATATTTAGATACGCAGTGAAACACGCTCTTTCGCCTTTAACACATGTAATTATGCGTTAAGAAACAGTTAGTAGGGGTGTAATGCAGCTTCAGATTTTGATACCTCTAGGCGAAAATAAATAAATAAATAACAATAACATGTAACGTGCTACTATGTGTATAATAATCGAAGTAATTTATGTTTTCGTACCTTTCAGACGATTACAATCGAGTGGTTTTGGACCAATTACCAGACGTACCGGATTCGGATTACATCAATGCATCGTACGTGGACGTAAGTATACATACCCAGCATAATACTATTATAAATGTATCCAAATATTTAATTATATTTCTGCATAGACTCCTACTCTCTACCATTATCTAGGAAAAAATGAAAAATACAAAACTCCTTTAAAAAAAAAAAAAAAAAAATCCTGTGTAAGCTATTGGACTAGTAGGTACGACAATAATATATAGAATCCTGTAGATAGGAGAAAGGGTGAGCAGTGTAAAATATGTAAATAAAAAAATAATAATAATATTTGCGTACAGTAAATAACAATAATAGTAAATATTATTATAATAATTCTCGTGTGGTAGCTTATATGCCTATGCGCTTCTGTCAACATTAATAACACTAAAACGGTTTGTATGTATTTATGTAATATCGAGTCGTAACAGGTTAGAACAGTGTAAAATATAATCCGTAAAATTCATCGTCGCGCAAAAACACACGTAATTCTGCGTTGTTATTCGGCCAATTTAATTAATCTGCTGCGCTCTGTCCTTTTCATCTCTCATTCTGTCTTTCTTTTTCGTTTCCATCTCTTTAATTAAACAGGGAGGGAGAGAAATAAGTGAAGTAAAAAAAATTAAACCATTTTATGCATATAAACTTACTTGTAACCAATCGGTGATAATAATAATTAATGTAAAAACGAAATGTTTTACGAGATTATTCGTCTGAACGCAAAATTTTATTCATTAAACTAGGAGGCGCGTACGCAATGAATATAATAATTGCATCCCATTCTGTCTCTTTCTATACCCTCTCTCGCTCTCGTTCTTTCTAAATGGTCCGGCGTGAGCGGATAAAGTTTAATTATTAAACTTTAAACGTGACTCGGGCAATTCTAGGCCACACCAAAATGTAATGTTACGCACCACTTAAATCCGTTCATCAAAACAGAAACGTCAAACAACATTGAACTGAAGAAAATACTTGTCCAGGAAAATGTCCTCAAAAAAACTAATTGTGAAGGGCATGAACATGTAGAATTATCCTTAACCTCTTTAATTACCTCTCTCTTGTACTCTTCCACCGAGAATCACTATATTGTAGAGTGACTTGATTTTTAGTCCACAAAAATGTGACATTAAAATAGCGTAAATTTATCTCCTAACTTTGTAAACACACGGTAAAATTATTTGAACCACTTGATTTGCACTATTATCGGCGAATCACCCTAATTGCATACACTCTATGCTCGTAGAACCCTGTAAAATCCGTTACACGCTCTACAATGTATATTATGTCGGCGATAAATATCTATTGCGCAAACACAAATAAAATACATAAACACTAGCGTTAGCTGTACAATGCTGTATAATTTGCACCGTATTATTATTCATCTTCTACGGTCGTAAAATTAAATAAGAAATCAATAATTTGTACCCGGCTTGCAAATTATTATGGTGACAACTATGAGCGGTTTTAATAAAAACTTTTCGGATGTATCGTTTCGGAGAAAAATGGTTTTAATACGAAGATGGTAATGAAATTCGTTTTATGCGGCAGTGAGCATTAATATAATAATATTGTATGCCGAAAGGTTTTCTCCTTTATAATGGGCATTTTTTAAGTTTGATATTAAAAACGCTGTTTTTATTGACCTATAACAAAAGCTGAGCAGTGACACATACATTCGTGAATGTTAATATTTTACAATTATAATTATTTAAAAAAATGCAAACTCATTTATAGTTTATATCACTTGACGTATATAACTTATAGGTATAATACAAATTATAACAAATTATTGTAATTATTTTCTCTCTATATCTCATTTATTTATTCATTTTTTATTTTTGTTTGAACGATGAATTGAGGGAGAATTGTGTTAACACTACTTACCTTAAATTTATTTATCTATACCATTTTGGCTATAAGTATAAGGTTAGTTAATTTATAAATAAAAATAGTATACATGTTTATTTTCTATTTGACTAAAATTAATCTAAACAATTTGGTTGTAACTTATATTTTTAAAATGCAATATTTATTTTTAATTAGCAGCCAACAAAACGATAGTAATAATTTTAAAAATATTCACATTTTGTATAAAATATTAACGTTACATTGTTATAAAGTATTAAATCACGTTAAGTCTTTTTTTTTTTTTTAATTTAGCATATTTAGCAAAAAGTATAATAAATATTTTGTGTAACATATACTCCAAAAAGAGTTTAAATTAAATTAACATCAAAAAGTTTTTAAAAATAAAAAAATAACTACATTGTGTATAAAGCGAAAACGTTTTTTTTTTTGTGGTTTTTATTTTATTTTTTTTTTATTTATAAATAAATAATGTGTTATTTATGTTCTACGTTATTATAAGTGTAGGTAACAATTTTAACCCAAAATAATTATTATTAAATGTGTTTCAAAAATTACATAACAACACTCTATAACAATATTACTTAATAATGTACGTGCATACTACAAAAAAGATGAAATTAATAAATGTATTAAATTCATATTGAAATTGTTTTATACTAATAAAGAAAATATCTGGGAGTAAGCAACTATAAATTTTTCTGGATTTTGTCACTGCAGTATATAAATACATTTACATTTTATATATATATAATAAAATAAGTTTTATTAAATTCAAGTTTTAGAATAATTAATTTCGTTTATTAGTCGTTTTATTTATACGATCTGACTGCGAAAAGTTTGTACGCATCAAATCCAAACTAAGAAAGTCAATATATTTTCGGAGACTTTGAATAAACGAATTTGCAAAAACCGCAATCAAAATGAATAACGAAAATCTTAATCATTTTTACGAAAAGACCGTTTAATTCAACTACGATACGAATACACACTTTTTAACAAAAAGTGCATTGCCATACATCGAAAATAAATTTCAATAAAAACGACGGTGATTCGATGGACAGTGAAACTATCAATATCTGAATAAATTTTAAATAATATATAAAGTATATAAGTATATATAAGTATTATATTAAGTTATGTATACATTCTGTTCGTGTATCAATTATTATCACATGATTGATACTAAACTAATAATTTCCAATGATTATTTTTAATAATCAAAAAAAATGCTTCTACTCTTTTGTGCCCAAGAAATGGCTCTGTAATACTGGACTGCAATCCCCCTGGTAAATAAAACACTATTTAAACTCTAAATCAATAAAGTTGTTTGTTTAAATCTCGAACTTTGGTGTCGAATAAATAATAAAAATAAAAAATATCAATAAATAAAAATATCTTGACAGCAAAACAAAAACTAGAGGGTTGAAAAAAAAATAAATATATTTATAAAAATGCTATCAATAATTTTTCCATTATTTTCGCCGAAACAATTTCTTGTCCTTAAGTGAATTGTTGCCGATCTAATGAGATTCCATCATTGCTCTTGTATACCCAGTGGTACTCGGATAGATAATACATCTCTATTGTTATCTCAAGTGCTTTTTAATGTTCGTAAATACATTTTTTGATGAGCGAAGGCGTGTATCGATGCTAAAGAAATGTACTCGCTCTTTTTTGCTAACCGATTTGTATTGCACAAGTGGACAAAGAATATTACAAAAAATAATTTTCAAATATTCTTATAGGTCAACAACGGTTTATTGTTATAGATTATCTTAACCATTTATTACGCATATATAATTGCAAGAGATTCAGCTCTAACTAGAATTTATAAATTACTTGAAAAACAACTTATATGATTAATCCACACCGATTTTCCTTATACATGCATAATAAATTTGTTCACATTTATTTATTTATGCATATGTCACTCGGCATGAGTAATTATTAAAAAATTAATAAGGTATATATATATAGAATATGAGATAAAAGATAAAATATACAGAATAATAAACAAAACAAACTAAAATAATAGTTGTATAAAATATAGGAAAAATAAAAATAATAAAACAAACGAACTAGAAAATGTTGATAGGACATGTGCTTCTAATAAACAGATAAAGCTATTAGAGTCGAATATCAAGTTCTTCTAACCATTTGATGGCTATTGGTCCGCAGACGTGCAGTGTAACCTACCCCTCCTTCAAATCTTGTTCTTTGGCATTCCTCAACGATATGGCTTGTAGTCTGTGTTAGATCGCACTCGCATTTGTTTACATACAATTGTTTCATTGTAATTTTGATTGCATCAACGATTATCGTAATAAAATGCTGTGGTTCAAATTCAAAAGTCTAAATGATTAACGAGTTTGTACGTATTTTTTCATAAGTTTTGAATAATACACATCTAAACGAAAAAAAGAACAAAGCGAACTATACTTGAGTGGGATCATTTTCACATTTTCCTAATAAATATTTAATTGAACGGTACATATTCTACGGTGTTCATTTTTCGAATTATTTATGAATCGCGCGAAAACGCCGTGTGCGCCACCCCCTCGCCTAGCCGGTCAAAGCGCGCGCAGGAAGCTGCGGTGTCAGTGACAGGACGTGTTCGGGTTTGAACCCTGACGACACGTCCGCCGTCCGGTTGATCGCACGTAATCAATTACGGTTTGGACCGCTGCTTAGCAGATCACGCGAAATCGTCGTTGCGCGGAATTCGGATGGTACGCAACAATTATGAGCGTGTCCTGCACGTACTTGTTATGCAACGCGACGAACGGTTGAAACCGCACCGGAACCGCGTTTCGCGTATTCGTTTGCACCGGACGTGTTCGCGTTCGGATTCCGAGTGGCCGCGCAAATCTTCCGTTCGTTTCTAATTAGAACCAAAATATCCAACCGTCCAATGGACTCATCCCATTTCGATTGGTCCGCGCTAAACCCGCTTCATTGTCGACTGTACCGACAGTGAAAATCGGCTGTCGTCACGGACAGTTCGAATGGGACGGCATCGCGTTGCACGTGACGAGAAGAACAGGATGCTTTACAAATGTTTGCAAAACTTTTTTATTTTGTCATGCGAGCGCATTGGAAGCGTTTAATCAGTGCACGGTTTGCGCTTTTTCTTCTCGCTGAGCGCCACATCAAAACACCACAAACGCATGGTC